GTACAGAACACTGGTGAGACCTCACTTGGACTATTGTATACAGTACTGGAGACCGTATCTTCAGAAGGATATTGATACCTTGGAAAGGGTTCAGAGAAGGGCTACTAAACTGGTTCATGGATTGTGGGATAAAACTTACCAGGAAAGGTTAAAGGATCTTAACATGTATAGCTTGGAGGAAAGATGAGACAGGGGGGATATGATAGAAACATTTAAATATATAAAGGGTATCAACACAGTAAAGGAGGAGACTATATTTAAAAGAAGAAAAACTACCACAACAAGAGGACATAGTCTTAAATTAGAGGGACAAAGGTTTAAAATAATATCAGGAAGTATTACTTTACTGAGAGGGTAGTGGATGCATGGAATAGCCTTCCAGCTGAAGTGGTAGAGATTAACACAGTAAAGGAGTTTAAGCATGCGTGGGATAGGCATAAGGCTATCCTAACTATAAGATAAGACTAGGGACTAATGAAAGTATTTAGGAAATTGGGCAGACTAGATGGGCCGAATGGTTCTTATCTGCCGTCACATTCTATGTTTCTAGTTCCCTGCTGTCCCGCTTTTGGGGACATTAGGGAACTGTCCGCAATAATCATAGCATGAGGGCATCTTTATACACTTTGAGACAGCCTGTAATATAGATGAAAAACATTAGTGTGTTACTTTTACTTCCTTTTATATATTGTTTCTAATAATACGAATGATTCCTTTTATCCTTGGACTTTATTTTTAAAAAAGGCAAGTAGATGAGGTACTATACATCAGATTGTTCAGTGAGTACAGAAGTCAAGAGACAATAACATTGTACAACATGTTTCGCGTAAAATTGCAGCATATGGTAATACTGTTACATGAACCTTTGGTACATAATAATGAATGACAGATCGCACACGGGTGTTGTTGAGGGTCTGTCGCTGAACTTCGCTGGTTTACTCTGTCTACTGCTTCATTTTATATTTTCAGTAGAGTAGGAAGTAGGAGAGGAAAAATAAGTGTTAGGGATAGAGATAGAAGTGAAGTTAAGATAAAACTGTTAGCTGTCCTGTTAGGTGGTGGGTCGAACCCTATTCATCCCCATGCTCTCTGGCGGTCGGATTATAAGATCTCCCCATTCGGATTCGCTATAAATCTCTGAAATATGAGATGCCACTTCCTCCCTGAGGGGCCCAGCATGCTTTCATCAGGGTTTATACAGTACAGGACGTGAAAGAAAGAAAAGAAAGGAAAGTTGCTGCATTTACTGGACATAGAATGTGTTGCCCTCTACCCCCTTCTCTTCATCTCGTAGTATGCCACCTTTTGTAGTGTCCAAGGTGAGGTCTCAGCTAGTGTTGAACAGATCCCAAACTTTGCTGAAAGTTGTGGTAGTATTCCGCACTTGGGCGGTTAACTTGTCTCTTAGGTAGTTGTCCCTGATTTTATTAGTGACTAGTGTGAGTGTAGGGGTCTCTAAATATGACCACTTATGTGCCAAGGCCCTTCGGGCTGCTAGGTATATCAAATTCAAGAGTTTTTGCTCATGCCTGGTTAGGCTCTCAGTCGGCCTTAAAGGATCACTATAGTGTCAGGAAAACAAAGCGGTTTTCCTGACAATATAGTGCCCTGAGGGTTAAAACCCCTTCAGCAGCTTACCTTATTCCAGCGCCAGGCTCCCTCGGCGCTGGTGACCTCTCCTCCCCGTCCAACGTCAGCTCCCCTGTCCAACGTCACTGGAGCTGAATGCGCATGCACAGCATGGACACTCTGCGCGATGGAGGCGAAATTCGCCTTTAGTGGCTGTCCGGAAGACAGCCACTAAAGGCTGGATTAATCCCAAATGTAAACATAGCAGTTTCTCTCACATGTTTACATGTGAAAGGTTAAAACCTGAGGGACCTGGCACCCAGACCACTTAATTGAGCTGAAGTGGTCTGGGTGACTATAGTGTCCCTTTAAGAGCAGACATGCCCGGGGTCTAGTTCTAGTCTCCGTTGCATAATTTGAGATCCCATCTCTATCACCTTTTGCCAGAAGGTCGCTATCACTGGACAGGACCACCAAATGTGGATTTAGGTCCCCTTGTTGGAACACTGATGCCAGCAGGCATCTGTGGGGATTAGTTTCATACGGTACTGCTTCGCCGGGGTGGTATACCACCGAAAAAGCATCTTGTAGGACTGTTCCTGGAGAGTTATGCCCATTGATATCTGCGTGCATGCCTCCCAGATGTCCTGCCAGTCTACCCCCTACAGGGTCTCCCCAAGATCGGCTTCCCATTGCTCTGTGTTGCGCAGAGGTCCCAGTCTTTGGACTCAGCACTGAGGTGTTCAGCAGGGTAATCAATCTGGTCTGTGATGTTTCTGTGAAACATAAGTGTTTAACCCCTTACGTACCAAACTTCTGGAATAAAAGGGAATCATGACATGTCACACATGTCATGTGTCCTTAAGGGGTTACAGGTGGTCATGTGTTTAGTGGCTACCCTCTCTATGTCTTTTTGTTTTGCAAAGTCCCGTATTTGCATGTAATGGAAGTAGTCTCGAGACTGAAGTGGTGTGATACTATTTAAGTGCTCGTATGTAACTAATTTCTTGTTGAGGTATAAGTGTACATATCTTTGAAGTCCCCCTTATAGTCCTTAGCTTGCATGCCCGATGGGAATGCTCTGTTTCGCAGTATTGGCGTAAGCGGGGAGGGGAGTTCTCCCAATGAGTATTTCTGCCTGGATTTGTCCCAAATTTGTATTGTGTTAAGTATAGCGGGGCAGGAGGTTTTCAAGATGTGCCTCTGACTCCTGGGGATCCATATATAGAATTGGGGTAGATCTAGACGTGTCATCTGGGACTCACTGTCTACCAATCATATTTTGTCTGGTGGTGAGTACCAGTGGATAAGTTGTGTCAGTTGTGCTGCCAGATAGTACAGATGTAAATTTGGACGGCCCAGTCCCACCCGCGTCTTAGGTCTATATAATAGGATGCATGCTAGTCTAGGGGGGTTTATTGTGCCAAATGAATGTGTCACTTTGACCTCTGTGTTCCCGCCAGGTCTCCCTTGGTGACCCCCACCAGTAATGCCTGGAATAAGAAGAGCAGTCTTGGGAGTATATTCATCTTAACAGTATGAATGCATCTCAGCCATGAGATCGATTTGTCCGTCCACTGCTCCAGTGCCCTGGTGAGGGTCTGGAAGAGGGGAGGGTGGAATAAAATGTGTAAACCTATGTGCATCCAAGAGTGTGGACTGTCTTACTACACACTTACTGAGAGCTAACAGTAAGCTCCTAAAGCTCCTTTGTCTGTCCACTGCTCCTGTTCCCTGGGGAGGGTCTGGAAGAGGGGAGGGTGGAATAAAATGTGTAAACCTATGTGCATCCAAGAGTGTGGACTGTCTTACTACACACTTACTGAGAGCTAACAGTAAGCTCCTAAAGCTCCCTCTGGACCATTCCCCATTAGACCAGGACAGTGAATACATATCCACTGTCGGGATTATATCGCCTATGCGATAAAAGTTGGTGCTACTATCACCTTTACACACTGTAAAGGCAATTCCATTTCTCCTTCTTTTTTTTTTTTTACTCTGTAACTTACATACTACATTATATTTTGCAATTTGTCCTCTGCTCATTACATTATGTCACACTGACCTGGACTTGAGGACTTTCTCCAAGGTGCTGCTCCCCTCCATCTACACAACAAGCATCATAAGACTCGCACTGTTCAATTCTCCCTGCAAGGTCAGCCCTCAGCAGGCCGGCTAAAATGTTTGGCTGGCCACTGAGGGATGGGTGCTAGTGATACAATTGCACCACTGGCCTAACCCATTTACCTCCCTCCCACCAGCATCCCGATTCTCAGGACACCGGTGTTGGGAGGTATGCCTAAAGAGTTATTCCAAAAGATTACTTTTGCTTTTTGAGGTGGTCATGGTGGTAGGTTGAAAGACTGAACATCCAGAGATATTTCTTTCCTGTGGTCCAGTGTGAGCAGGCTGACTTAAGGTGATGGGTGAGGCATTAGGCTTCCTCAGTATCCCTCATCTGTGTGTGCTGTCCCTCCTCCTCAACCTTTTCCCCACGCAGCTCTCTGTTAGCTTGCCGGGTTGAGGTGAAGCTGAACTCACTTCCTCTCAGCAGACCATGGATGAACAAGGCAACAGAGGCACGGTGCTCGGCTGTGGCCCGTGGGGAAACTTGGAGAGAGGGGCCCGGCTGCGGGTAAACAAAATGACAGGGGCCCGGCCGCTGGGAGACACAGAGATGGACCGGGCTGCAGGGGATCAATGTGGCAGGGGCCCGGCTGCAACCGGCATGGAAACACGGTAAAGGGACCAGTCTGGTGAAATATTAAAGGGCAGCGGGCCCCTGATTAAACTGTTGCAGGCTCAAGGGGCAGCTGCTTTGTGCTCCCAGGAATAAATGGGACCGGGGCAGCTGCCCCTTTTGTTTGCCCAAGTTGCACTCCTAGCAATTTATACACAGAATTGGCCTTAGGCAGCCCAACTCTGCCCCAGGATGCCTTAGGTCAATACTGTGTATAAATTTCATATGTCATCAGCAGGTCTGCCCTCAGAAATTTTGGGACCCCTGACAAAGCTTAAGGTCTGGGCCCCGCACCTGAGTCCGCTCACAGGGCTCTTCCTGAGTCCGCCCGCAAGGATGCAGTACTGAATGTGGTGTATATAGTGGATGTAGAATTAGAATGTGTGTAATGGACGCAGAGTGCGTCTTTAAAGTGGACGCAGAGTGTATAGTGGATGCAGAGTGAGTGGAAAATGGATGTAGTGTGTATAGTGGATGCAGATTTTACATTTGTGCAGTGGATGTAGTGTGTGTGTAATGGGTGTAGTTTTTGTGTGTAGTGTATGCAGTGTCTGTGTATAGTGAAT